TGCTTGAAACCAACATCCCCGAACAGCTTCCCCGGCACGACCTCGTCGGCCGGCCCTGCGACGGCGGACCGGAACATGGGGGCTTCATGTCCAAGACCGTCTGGCCATCGGGCAGCAACGTCAGGGGCTGCCCTGGAACCCCCCAAGTGAAGGCCACGTTCGAGAAGGATCTTCCAGCATTCGCGTGGCTTCTCGAGTGAGCATGCTTGCCCTGAGCTTCGCCGTGCGACAACGAGAGAACAGTCGATGGCACAGGTAATCACATTCACCACAGCACTCACAGACATATTCCACGCCGCAGCTTGCTTGCGTGAGCCTGTCCCGAGTCCACATGGTTTGAACTAGGAGCGACATCAAGACGTTCTTGTGTATAGCGTCACCGTCCTGCATGTCTAGATTCGCTGCCGCCTGCCCGCGGATCCTGTCGGCCCAAATCTTCGGATGCCATGCCCCTCACCATGCGGGGGGATGTGGAAGTAAGCTTCAGCGACCGCCCAGACGGGAGCAAAAAGGAGAACTGCCCGTCGAACTTCCACCCGATGCGGTCGAGGGAGAGGATGGCTGCCCCAATGGGGCTCCTGAAGTGGTTTCCATCTCTCCGGGAGGAGGATGAAGAGGAGGAGGAGGTGGAGGAGGTGGAGGCGAAATAGGAGGAGAAATAGGAAGAGAAAGAGGAGGAAGAAGAACAGACACACAGAAAACGGGCTTAGGGGTAGGGGGTAGGGGGGAGCATCAAGCTACCCACCCACCCGCAAGCCGTCTAGCTCATTCCCTCCCGCCCTCCCAGCACACAAGTAACACCCGAGCCTGAGCATGTTCAGCGGTCGTCTCTGGATGGGCAGCCACTGGGAACCAAAGCCGACCCCAGGTGCGCAACGCTTGGGCGAGGTGCGCCACGCAAGCCACGCGCGCCAGGCACCCCTGGGGCCCGAGAGTGCCAGGCACGCCTGGTGCGCCGAATGCGCCACGTGCTCTGAGTGCGCCAGGTGTGCCGCATACTCCAGCCGCGCCACGCTCGGGGCACGTGCAGAGTGCGTCAGGTGCGCCTGCGCACGTGACAACACACATCGGGAAACATGTCGGCCCCCACCATCCGTGTCGAAAACCAATGCCCATCATTGTTTCAGGTGATCCTGCGCACACCAGGCCACGCGCAACCACCCCCGCCGTCCCTGTCAAAAACCGCTTGACAGCGATCGCGGGCTGGCCACGCACGGTCCAGATTTAGCCACAAGGTGCATGTTGTATTGTGTTTCGTCAGGGATGGTACCCCTGCGCACAACAGGGAATATGCTGACACCCCCGCCGTCCATGTCAAAAACAATACAAAGTGCTCACGGGCCTCACGAACATGACTCAAGACTTTGCCCTTAAGTGTACTGTGTGCAGTTTTTTTAACAGGGATGGTGGGGCGGGGTGGGATGGGGGGGCGACTTTGCCCCAAAGTGTACCTTGTTTTGTTTTGTCAGGGATAGTTGGGGAGGGGGCCGCATCGGGTTGGCCGCGCATGCTCCAAATGTGGAGGCAGGGTGCGTCTTGCTATGTTTTGACAGGGATGGCGGGGAAGGGAGAGGCCCGCATGGGGTCGGCATGGTTCCGGGTTGGCCGCCAGCCAGGTGGGGGAGGGGTGTATAGGGCACAGTGATGAAGGAACTGGGTCTTGGACAAAAATTGAAGGGGCCCTGGGACACACAAATAAATACACACAAAAAACAGGATTCCTTATCTTTTCTTACATTTTCTGGGTTTTTGTCTTCCCCCCCAAATCCTAGACTTTTCCATATTTTCCTGGGAGTCGACGATTCATTGTGTCTGTGTGATTTTTCCCCTCCTGAAATCTGCCCTGAGCAAGTTTCCGCGTGTCCGGGCCCCTGGAGCCCTCCACGGGGCGTGGGACCGTCAAGAAAGACTCGGGATGAAGACCTGGCTCTGGGGACCCCCTGGGGTTACAGTCGGGGCGCTGACCTAAGGAACCCTAGATAAGGAACGAGGCTCCTTTTTCCCAAAAGTTGATCTTCGACTCCCCATGGAAAACCTTCGGGAAACCTGGGGCAAACTGCACAACAGTCAAGGAACGCCGAGCCCCTCCCCAACGAAAAGGGTTCCTTCTTCAGCGCCCAGACTGTAAGGCACAATGATGAAGGAACTGGGTCTTGGAAACAATTGGCCCCGAGCAAGTTTCCGCGTGCTCGGGCCCCTGGAGCCCTCCACGGGGCGTGGGTCCGTCAAGAGAGACTCCGGATAAAGACCTGGCTCCGGGGACCCCCCGGGGTTATGGGACCAGTTCGCCTTCGGACCCGTTTCCTCAGTGGCGAATGGGGTGGCTGGCGGCCGACGGGCAGATCTGTTCCGCTTCCTCGCCTGGTGCCGTAAGGACGCGATGCCATGGTGGCAGCTGGGTGAGTGCGTCTGGGGGAGAGGACGGAGGAGCCATGGCGGAAGCGATTGCTGTCACAGCTCACCAGCAAATGAACACTAGAATGCACAAGCTCGCCATCGCTCGGACGTCCATTCCCTGTGCATTTCTCGGTTTCGTGCGTGTTTTTTTGGCTCGATGGCCCAGGATGGTCCTCGATGGTTCTCGCCGAGAAAAATGCACACGTCCGAGCGATGCCAGGCAAGTGGTTGGAACATTGGGAGGCTCGGAACCTTTGTAGATCCAATGATGTTCGAATACCTGGTAGCACGACAACGATGGACCAACAGGGATGGAAGGCTTCGAGCAATGGAACAGACAGTTGGCTTTCGCTTGCATGCAACGTATATGCACCTTGAGGCAAGGATGCACAACTCACCAACTTAAAGCTGGTGGGCGATGTTCCCTGACAATAGACTGAGGCAACGCATGGTTTGCCATTTGTTCATGGTTCGGGGTGCTCTAGTTTGTCTTACTCCTCGGCTCGGGCCAATGCCACCTCATGCCAATGGCGTTAGGCAGCGCGTGCTCACCCTCGCCAGAGCTTCAAGGGAAGCGGACCCCAGACAGCCTGCCTGTCTTCTATGCCCTCCTTTTCTTCCTCCTCTCCCTCGTCCTCCTCCCGCTCCTCGTCCTCATACTCCTCCTCCTGCTCCTCCTCCTCCTCCTCCTTTTGCTGGTCCGTCTCTCTCTTCCTCTTCTCTGAACACCGCTGGGCCGCCTTCCACGGTGGCGACGGACGCACGCCCGCGGTGGCGGGAGGGCAACTTGATTCGGCGTTGAGGGACGCTACCCCGCCACGGCCGCCCGGGGGGGAAGAGATGGGGGGGGGAGGGGAGGGCAAGGGGCAAGGCAAGGCGCACCTGAAACACCTACGGGGCGGGCCTATCAAGACCGGCGCGGTGGGCCGGGGCCCGCTCACAGCTCGAGCACGCTAAGACACGTGCGAATCTTCCACCGTGGGTCTGCAGCAGCTTCCAAGCACTCAGTGGGCAATCAGGGCTGGGGGGGCCTCCGCCAGCGAGGCCCGCACCAACACCTGAACGTGAATCAAATGAGAATGAGACGAGACGGTGTTCTCTTTCTGCCGTTGCTGTCCGGAGGCCGGGCCAGGGCGTACAGGTGAGCGCCCAGTCTGCAGCGATCGCACCCCTAGGACCTGGAGGGAGGCGACGGCCAGGAGCTCTTCCCCGGCGTGCCGCGGCGGCGGCCCCGGCGACACGCCACGCCCTGCGGGCGGCTGCTGCGCCGCTCCGCTCTCCGCGGGGCGGGAGGCTCGGAGCCGCTCGGGGCGCCGACGCCCGCGGGCCGGGGCGTGGCCGGCGTCCCGCGCCGAGGCGCGGCGGTCCACAGCCGGCGGCGCGGCGCGCCAAGCGGACGCGGAGCGGGCGGGCCAAGCTCTGCCCCTCGCCAGCGGCGGCGCGGGCGCCGCGTTGAGGGCGACAGGGAAGCCAGGTGCGCGAAAGCTGAGAGGCGCGGCGGCGCGGGACAGGCGCGGCGGCGAGGCGAGGCCTGCGCCGGAGAGTGGCTGCCGGCGGCGCGGCTCGGTGAGAGGGGGGGCGGGGTGCAGTCGCCCGCGGCCGAGGGCAGTCTGCCCCCGTCTGCTGTACCTAGCGGCAGTCTTGTTCGAGCTCCCCGGCTAGCCCACCGTGTGCTCAAAGTCAAAGGGGCCCGTCGACGTCGTCGATGTCGAACAGTGTGGGCTCGATCGTAGGCTCGTAGCCTGGGCTGTACACCACCTCGACGTCGATGCTGATTGTCACGTGGGACCACTTCTTCACATGTAGCGTGGCGTTGCCGCGCAGCATGGGGGACTAGGTGTGGCTCTCGTGGCGGCGATGGACGCGCATGGCCGCCGCAGTCTCGCGCGAGGTGTCGTACTGGAGTGCGGTAACGATGCACTTGTTCAGAGCCAAAATGTTATGGCGACCGATCGTGAAATGTGGCGGCTTGCGCGAGGTGTCGTACTGGAGTGCGGACGTAGATGCGCACCGAGTCAGAGTTCGGCTCGAGCGGCGAAGGAGGGTCCTCCAAGGTGGAGAGGCGCTCCCGATCGGGGATGTCGCTCGGCTCCCTGATAGCATCCAGCGTGGCGACGAAGACCCAAGGCTGCGGATGTACCGCGCATTCGTCCGCTAACTCGTGGCGCGGGTTCGGCTCCTTCTAGCCCTCGAAGCCCTGGGCTTGGGAGATCGTGAGCTGCAAGCGGCAGTAGTGAGAGGTGCTGGCCACCGCCTTCACGATCTCGCGGGCCTCAGCGGCCATGAGGTGCTGCGGGCTGGTGCCCACTGGCACGGGCAGCACCGCCCAGGTCGCCAGGTCGTCGGTCCAGACCTTGTACCTGACGAGAGTTCTTCTTCTTCTTCTTCTTCTTCCTCCTCCTCCTCCTCCTCCTCTCCTCCTCCTCCTCCTCCTCCTCCTCCTCCTCCTCCTCCTCCTCCTCCTCCTCCTCCTCCTCCTCCTCCTCCTCCTCCTCCTCCTCCTCCTCCTCCTCCTCCTCCTCCTCCTCCCTCCTCCTCCTCCTCCTCCTCCTCCTCCTCCTCCCCCTCCCCCTCCTCCTCATCCCCGCCCCCGAGCCCCGGGCCGCGCGACGGCACCGCGTACTCCAGGATGATGGTGCTGCACTTCAGCTTCACGCCCAGCCGCCTCTGGACGATCTCCGCCCGACTGCACGACACGCCGCCTGCGGCCGCGGCCGCGGCGAGGAGGGGCCCCGCGCGCCGCGCGCGGGCCCTCCTCCTCCTCCTCCTCCTCCTCCTCCTCCTCCCTCCTCCTCCTCCTCCTCCTCCTCCTCTCCTCCTCCTCCTCCTCCTCCTCCTCCTCCTCCGCCTCCTCTCCTCCTCCTCCTCCTCCTCCTCCTCCTCCTCCTCCTCCTCCTCCTCCTCCTCCTCCTCCTCCTCCTCCTCCCCTCCTCCCCTCTCCCTCCTCTCCTCCTGCTCCTCCTCCTCCTCCTCCCCCCCTCCTCCTCCTCTCCTCCTCCTCCTCTCCTCCCTCCCTCCTCCTCCTTCCCCTCCTCGTCCCTCCCTCGGACCCTTCCTACCCTCCTCCGCCTCCTCCGTCCTCCTCCTCCTCTTCCTCCTCGTCCCCTATGTTTGTTTCTCCTGGAAGCGCCGTTTCTCAGGTTGCTGCTTGTTGCGCTCACCAGCTGGCCGATAAAACGTCACTGCAAACTTCAAATACGCAAGCTCCATCTCGAACGCAGATGATGTATGCTTGCGAAACTGATATATGTAAAAACATGCTCTGGTCCTGTTGATGATCGTCGCCACGATGCTCAAACAATTGAACTCCAAAAGTGCCTTCGACGCAGAACTGTATACCAACAGCATCCACCATCTCAGACTTTACAATGGTCGGCGACAGGTTTCATCCGGATTCTCTTACTGCTCTGGCGTATTTGGCCAAGTGGTCCGCTCCTAAGCTCCATTCCCGCGGTCGCCAATCGACAGGGTCTAAGAAACCCGTCAATTCACCCTGCTACATTTGAAGTTATCCGCGTACTGTGCGCTCGTCAGTGCCCGTGCTCCAAGCAGGCTGCAAGCAAGCGCTGTCCAAATCCTCAGTCGCTGCTCCTTCAGGTCGTTGGGCTTCCGCTGGGTAGGACTCCGGCGGCTTGGGGAGGTGTAGCGATTTACACGCTAAGAGCACAAATGCCCTGCATCCCCGCGGGCCTCCGTGTTGCTCCACATGATCTCTCGGAATTTGGTGCGCCAGTGAATGCCCCAAAGCTGTACCAGCCAGTCTCGACGTGGGTTGGTGGACCTCCACTGGCATGAACCTGATCGGCTGCCCCTTTTCCTCCTCTTATGACCAGTAATTCTCAACGTCCCCACCATGAGGCGTCACGCCCTCGTCTTATAACTGAGGCCAGCTCACCATACCCACCGACTTGAAGCAAACTTGTGTATGGCCGTTCAAACAAAAAACGACGTGAATGGGCTTGACGTTGATCACATTACAAACATTGAACCAGCGTTCCCATGTGAGGAGCGTTCACATGTTGTAATTCACTCGACCTCTCGACCTTCACCGGGCTGGCGTCTCAGCCGGAAGATCCGTCTCAGATGCGGTCTCTCCCAGCGGATGGCCTCCACGAGTAAGCTTTGTGTCGTGAGCGGACGTGGTGCGCTTCCTCGACCTCTCCAGCGGGTGGCCTCCCAGGGCGTCTCATCCACCCTCCCCCCCTCCCTGCGCCCGTAGCCTTGTGGAGGACGATCGACGGAGAAGAAGCATGTTGCCAAACAAATTCCAGATGTCCAAAACATGTTTTAAACATGCTTTAAACATGTAAAATCATGTTTAAAACATGTTGAGAACACTTTTCCGACATTTAAAACACATCTTAAATTCAACGATCGGACTGTCAGGGTGTCCATTGTCGTGGCATCCACAACCGTAGCCCCTCACCGCAGCGACCACTGGCTGCAGCATCACCGTAGCCCATCACCGCACCGCTCGTGCCCCCCCCTCAGGAGCCCGCTTGGCCCCGACCCCGCAGGCACTCGGGCGCGGCCCCACCGCCGCCGGCGGGCAGGCCCTCTGCGGTCCCCCAGCGCACCTGCGCCCCAGCACGCCAGGTGGGCGGCAGGTTCTTTCTAGCCCCCGCGTTTTGTCTTCGATTTTCGGCTACACATAAGAGTGACCCTGGGCAAGAGTGACCACTGGTGCGCGGCTTGACGGGGGACGCGGGGAGGCCAAAGCTGGGCGCGCAAGCCGCTGCTACCACTTCGCGCGCAGCGATCGGGGGAGCCCTTTGAGCCTGCACCAAAGGTCACTCCGGCGAAAGGTCACTCTGACGTGTAGTCGAGATTTGGACCTCTCGAGCCCATCGTCTGGCCCCGGGGCCAACAAAAGCAGATCCAGCACGAAGGCACCCCCGTGCAAGAGGTCGGGCCTTCTGGGCCGCGCATAACAAAAAAAACATCGTCGGATGCCTGGACAGCCCCGCTGCCGCATCTGTCGTGCACCTGCCCTTCTCTGAGGAAGAGCAGGACCAAGGGCTAAGTACTCGCCTGCTCCTGTCAGAGGCAGGTCTGGAACGAAATGGATCAATGCAGAGGGGCCCGCGAGCAAGCGATGGGCCGACGAGGGCCGAGGGAACGACCGCAACGCGAGATTCCACGCGCCCGAAGGGGCCGAGCGAGGAGACCGAACGAGGGAGCAAGACGCGTGTTCTGAAGCGAAGGGCCGCCAGAGGAGGATCAGGAGGGGGGGGCACAACCGATGCGCCCCCTGGGAGCCTTGGGTGGCGACCAATAGTCGCCGTGCGCGCTCCACTACTCGCAAAGTGCCTACTCGCAAACGTCCGAAGAACACCTGCCTGCCTGAACGTAATTTATCGTAGATCCCCGGCGGGGGATCCAGGCCATTTGCGAGTAGTTCCTCTGCGAGCAGTGGAACGCGCTCGTCGAAAGAGGGTCCCATTTGAGGAGGGGCAGGGGGTCTGCCCGCGAACACGGGAGCCGCTGCCCAGAGCCTTCGCTCACGAGAGCAGGAAGCGGAGCGCACCAGAGGCGGGGGGGCGGTGGAGCAGACGACGGGGACACGAGAAGAAGAAACACCAACATCAAAAAATGCATTCGGCGCTCCGCGCGGATTTGTTTTGATCGGCGCCGGCGGCGCCGCCCCCCTGCAGACACATGTTTCCCCATATCCTACGATGGGGGTCTTGTTGTTACGCAGACGCCTCCGGACCTCCTCCCTTGCACCTCACACCATCCTCCTCCTCCTCTTCCTCATACTCGTTCAAACTCAGACTGGCCCGTGCTCAGACTCCCTTACACTCAGACTCGCTCGCACTCAGACTGAGTCAAATCTGATACACTCATCCCGAAACCCGCTCACTCTCAGAGTCAGTCAGGTTCATTTGCAATCAAGCTCAGTTATACACATATTCCCTCATGATCAGACACACTTGGGCCACTGCCCACTGCGATATAGCTAGCAGGCGTAGCATTTGAGGCACCGCAAGGGGGAGCCGCCAGGGGTAGGGACATTCCACGATTAGCGCCCAGATTGCGGGGATGTGTCAAGCGGTTTGGCGGTTTGAGTGCCCAGCATTTTCTGTTTTCGGAGAAGATTGTGAGGATGTCGCAGGCGAGGCGCTGGTTTCAGCCCTTCCAGAGGGGGGCCGCCAGGGATAGGGACACTCGAGGATTCGCGCCAAGCGGTTTGCCTGTTTGGGTACCCAACATCCTTTGGTTTCGGAACAGTTTGCGGGGCACGCGTAGCGCTGGTGTCAGCACTCCCAAAGGGGAGCCACCAGAATGGGGACACTCCAGGATTCGCGCCATGGTTGTTGGGATGTCTCAGGCGGTTTCCCTGCTTCTGCCCCCCAGGTTTCTTTTCGGACATGTGTTCCTCACTCACTCACTCACTCACTCACCTCCTCCTTCTTTTTCTCTCTCCGACGCACGTATTCGCACTCATATTCACTCATGTGCACATGATCCTCACTCATACTCACTCAACACACTCATATTCGCCCATACTCATACTCACTCATACTCGAACTCTCTCATAATCAAACTTACTCAATATCAAACCTACTCGCTTCCAAGCTAACTCACAATCCTATACACTCCGACTCAAGCCCACCCACCCTCACACTCACCCATGCTCGAACCCTATCGTACTCAGGCTCCTTTGCACTCGGAATCATCTTCGTCGTACTCATACCACGACTCGATCACACGAAGACACATTCACACTCAGACCCACACGCGCCCAGACTCACTCGCACTCAGACTCACTCGAACTCAGACCCACTCGTACTCCAACTCATCATTCTACCCAGACTCACCTGCATCCAGGTTCAACATGACCAGGTCCACTAGAACCCAGATTCGCTCACACACAGATGCGTTCGCACCCGGATCACACACGCCCAGATTCACTCACACAGGTGGCTACCGCGATTTAGCACGCGTGGCACTTGGGCACTCCAAGTGCCAGCGAACGCCGCGAGTAGCAGGCCAGAGAGCGGGCGTAGGAACGTCATGCGCTGTTGCCCGAGTTGCCGCAGGAAGAGCGGCAAGAGGATTTCCCCCCCGCTCTTCCACTTGTGTTTCCTTCATCGTTCCTCGGAGGCGTTACTGAAATCATCACGGTCGTCGTCATCGTCACTGCCGCGCCCGTCGTCTATGCGGACTCGCTCTCACACCCACATGCTCTCAGACAGTATTCCCCAGCGAGACGTGGCGGGAGTACGCTATGCACATCTGGCGACCTCCGCGCCGAGGCACTCCTCCGAGCGGCAAGCGAGAAGGGGGGCGAAGAGGAATGGTGATGGGGGCGGGCCCTCGCGACTTAGCGACTCTGGCACCCGCACGCGAGCCGGCACCCGCCCCGCCGACAACACCCCCCGATGCGCCGCCACCTCCCCCTCCTCCTCCTCCCCCTCCTTCGATCTCCGCCCTCCTCCCGCACCCTGCCTCCGCCTCCTGCGCACGCCGTCCTTCTTCATCTCCTCCATCCTCCTCCTCCTCCTCCGCACCCTCGGCCTCTTCCTCCTCCTTCTTCTCCTTCTGCGCCCGCTGTCCTCCTCTATCCCCCCTCCTCGCTCCTCTTCGCTCCTCCTCGCTCCTCCTCCATCTCCTCCTCCACCCCCTTCCTCCTCTTCCTCCTCCTCATCTTTCCTCCTCCTCCTCCTCTTCCTCTTCCTCCTCCTCCTCCTCTCCTCAC